CAGTGGCTTCAAACCACTCTGACCCACAGTGCTATGCAAAAGTCTTAACCCACACCTTCCACTTCCACTCCCTTCTATATATTCTTCTCCCAAGGGAGCAGACTTTTGTATTTTTATTATTATTTTTTTGGACCTATAAATCATTCCAATATAAAAACTGACTCAACTTAACAAAGAGCCACTTTCAAATAGTATCTTTTGCCACTTTTTTTGCAAACAGTCTGTCACAGTAACACATAATTTCTTCCCATTTTTTTTTTTTAGCTCTATTTGCAACAAAATGCCAAAGATGACACAATTTGACAGGCATAAAATTATATTTGTGTACCAACAAGGTGATTCCCAAACATTTAAAAGTCAAAAACGTACTATGAGCATTGGCCTAAGACGTTTTTTTATGGTATCGTATGAACTTGAGTGCAATTTCCATCCGTGGCTGCATTAATATGTCAACACAATTTTGAGGGTTGTGTTCAAATTTCAGGTTGGACTAGTCCCACCCTAGGCCTCCCCTTTTGACTTGCCTCTCCTGTCAGCTGTCAAATCCTTCAAAAGGTCACAAATGCATTGAATTGTTCAATACTCATTTCGTGATGTTGAAGTTGGATCTGACACTTTAGCCTAAATGCAACACTTCTTTCATAATCAGCATTTTTATGACTTTACTGCAGAACAGTAAAGTTTAAGCACATGCTTTAGATATGATAGACAGACATGAAGTAAAAGGTCAACTTCCTGCGACAATATTTCCTGATTCCAGCTTTTGGAATCAACTGATTCTGGAACCACTGATCATCGGTTGAAATGTTGTTTCCAACATTTCCAACCACAGACAATGAATTTGTGTTAACTGACCATTAACATAATGCAACACTGGACAAACATGGATGTGTCACCAAAATTTTACACATCACAGGTGTCCTCGTGGTTATTATAGAAATGTAGTTTTTTAAAAAAAGGGTTTTGCCCTTTTAATTATATTTAGGAAAATAACTTCACACATCATAAGTCTGATAAACATGCCCCACCAAAAGAAACAGACTCAAAACTT